GTTTTTTTTTTTTTTTTTTTTTTTTTTTAGTATCACATGCTGATATAACACTGTTAACCTGCATTTGTATCTTATTCATAGAATAGAAAATGGCAATGAATCACTTATTACTAAATGCAGTTAGTAGATAAGATGTCTAACAATGTCAAGTCCATGAGGAAAAAACAGTGCAAAGAACCCTTAGTAATGAAAAGATTGAGAAGCACTATTTTGCAATACCATTTAGAGGTAGCTGAGGTTTTTGGGGAGTGGGGAAGAAAGACACCTGTAGTCAGCAAGAGAGTCATGAAATAAGAATGGGGGTATCAAAGACAAACTCATGAATTAACTCCTTTGTTGGCCTCTCACAGAACTTTTCCCATTTAATACCCTAGAAGCAAGCTCCCCCTTTAGCGTGAGTAGCTTCCAAACATTTCTTATGTAATGGTGCCCTCTTCTGGAGTAACTGATGGGACTCTAAAAACACCCCCCACCCAGCCTGCTTCACAATATCTATGAAGAAATTGAAGAAATAGTGAGAGCTCCCTCTAAAAGTTAAAAATTAAAAAAGAAAATCCAAATAATTTGAATTAGGATGTTATACACATGTAAATGTGTTCAGAGCTTCGTCTTCCTCTTTAACCTCAAAACCATGAGCTAAAGGTAAAAATGTAAGCACATCACTCTACTACTGTTACATTTGCCTGTCCTTCCAATCTCCCTGCACTACCAGGGCAAGGTTTTCAATGGCCAATTTTTTCAGAAGTGGATGGCTTGGTCCTTCTTCCCAGTCTGTCTTAGTCTGGAAGCTCTGCTGAAACCTGTCCACCACTGGTGACCCTGATGGTATTTGAAATACCTGTGGCATAGCCTCAAGCCTCACAGCAACACGCAAGCCACCACAGTACGACAAACTGGCAAACAAAAATTGATGTCAGAAGAGACTCTGAAACTTGTTCTTGAAAGGAGAGTAGCTAAAGCTAGTGGAAGACATCATGAAATGAAAGCTGAACAGAAGGTTTCAAAGGGTGGCTCAAGAAGACAAAGTGTTATAATGAAATGTGCATAAGACCTGAAATTAGAAAACCAAAAGGAAAAGTACATGGTTGGCACTTCTCAAGCTGAAAGAACTGAAGAAAAAATTCAAGCCTTGAGTTGAAATATTGGAGGATTTTATAGGCAAAATATTGAATGATGCAGGAAGCATCAAAAGAAGATGAAAGGTGGAAACAATCAGTCCTAGCGACTGGTACACCATCCGATCTGCAACCTATACAACCATGAGACCAGAAGAACTAGATGGTGC